TCCTGAATTTTGCAGCTGCTCCGCGGCCCCCGGCCGAATCCGCCCGCTGCGGCCACCAGGTGGCGCGCGGCCACCGGTCACTGGGCCCGCCGGGGTGTCCGCCTTCGGCGACCCCTTCGGAAAAGGACTTCGCTGCTGTCGTCCAGGGTCTAAGGCCTACCTGGCCCGCTTGAAGACAAAGAATGAGAACGCTGGTGCTTTGCCTGCCTCTGCTCTGCCGGATTATGCTGCAGCTTCCTCGGTGGCCCCTCCTTCGCCCTCTCCTGCTCCACCCGCCCCACCAATCCCTTAGCTCTTTTGTGTCATTTTTGCTTAATTGTAAGTCCTCGTCCTGGCATTAGCATCCCTGCTTGACCTGACCTTTGCCCACGTTTCGCACGACACCCCTTCCCTCACCTGCTACAAAAGTTGCAACGCTTCTCTGCACTTGGGGGCACCTGGACCTTATCAACACTGGTGAAACTATTTCATATGTAATCTGGGAGACTTACATTAACACTCTGCCGTCTAAACCTCGTACCCGCTCTCTGAGGGAGCAACAATATTGTCCCTATCCAGCAATTCTGGTGATGAAGTCCACCAGAAGTGATGGGGATTCCAGCTCCATTCTGTCACATACCAGAACCTTAATCCTTGGCTCCTTCAAGCTGGAACGCAGCTGAGTTCACCAGACCCACTCCCACACTCTTATGCATCTTTCAAGATCCTGTTCAAATGTTTCTTCAATGGCATCTTCCTTAATACCTTCCACCGAGGGACAACTAGATCCCCTCTGCTAGGTAGCAGTGTTTCGGAACTAAACCCTGTGACTGAGAGAGGACGGCCTGCCATTCCCTCAGCTATGGGTTCTAAAATATGTTAGGACCTTGCTGGGCGCGGTGGCTCACACCTGTAATCTCAGCACTTTGGGAGACTGAGGCGGGCGGATCACCTGAGGTCGGGAGTTTGAGACCAGCCTAACCAACATGGAGAAAACCCGTCGCTACTAAAAATACAAAATTAGCCAGGCATGGTGGCGCATGCCAGTAATCCCAGCTACTCGGGAGGCTGAGGCAGGAGAACCGTTTGAACCTGGGAGGCGGAGATTGCGGTGAGCCGAGATCGCACCATCGCACTCCAGCCTGGACAACAAGAGCAAAACTCTGTCTCAAAAAAAAAAAAATCAGGACCATCTGGCCTTTCTCGGGACTCTACCTTTTTGTCACAGGTTCTGGTGGTAGTGAGTTCTCTGTCCCTGGAGATGCCATCAGAGCCTAAGTGGCACTGCAGAAACATGCAGCCCTAGGATTTTGGTAGTTGATGAAGATTCTAAGTCAACCCTCTTAGATGGGCAGAAGAGTTCAGCCAAATGCTCAGCCCCTGGAAACAACTCCAGTCCTTCAGACTACAGCTCTGTTGTCCCTTCCTTCCACAAACCTTCCCACACCTCCCTGACTAGTCACATCCCTTTATTCTCACTCATAACCCCAACTGCTGAGTACTGGCACATAGTAGGCTCTCAATAATTACTGACTGGGTGGAAGAATGGATAAAAACAACTAACCCTAAGCGAGTGACTTCTGAGCCTCTATTTCCTGTCTTCTAAGAGGGGATGGGTAATAACGATAGTTGCTACCTAGCAGGAATGCTGTGAGAATTAAACGATGCGTGCAAAGCAGTTAAAGGTCTGGCCTAATAAATGGAACCTGTTACTAATGTTATTTAAAGAGTGGTTCTGAATCTCAGACGCATGTCTTCTGAAAGTGCTTCTGGGAAGAGTCAAATACCACAAAACTGAGAAAAGCAAGGGAAATGACTGCTAGAGACCGCAGCCACTGTCCCTAAGCATAGAGGGCTCTATGAACTAAGCACTCACTATGAGTCCAGCACCTACTATGGGGCCTTTTATCTAATTTCTCTACATTTCTTCCAACAATCCTAAGAAATCAGTACTTTCCCCCCAGTTTAGAAATGTGGGGACAGGCTCAGAAAGATGAAAAAGACTCTGCTACCACCTGCAGGACTCAAGACAAAAGATCTGGAAAGCAATGTGTCCAAGGATAAGGAGGGATCTTAGTGGGTGTGGTTCTGAGGCCAGAGGCAGCAGACAGACGCGACCAGACAGGGATACAGCTAAGAACAAGGCAGGCATGGCAGGGTGTGGTGGCTCACATCTGTAATCCTAGCACTTTGGGAGGCAGAGGCGGGGCAGATTGAGCTCAGTTGGGAGGATGATTAGAAGTGGGACTAGGTGGAGAGGAAGGCTTTCGGGTGGAAGGAACAGCATGTGCCAAGGTCCCAAGGCCAGATCAGGGCTTGGCCCATTTGAGCAGCTGGGAGAATCCGTGGTGACCAGAGCCCACCGAGGGAGAGAAGGGTGAAGAGGAGGCAGCCAGAGATCATCAGGTCATGCGGGGGGAAGAGCCAGCAGGGGGCAGAGTTCCTCCAGTGACAGCAGCCTTGCTCTTCCTTGTCCTCCCTAGAGTCAGAGCCAGGCTGCATTCATTGAGAAAGGGCTGGGGTAGGGAATCCCCCCTGCCTGCTTCGATTTCTTTTAAGTACACTCTGTCCAGTTTTTGAATAGATAGGACACACACATTGCAAAATCCACAGGATGCAAAGAAGTATTCAATGAAAATTCGTACTCCCTGGATCTCCTTAGAACCACCATGCTGATTTTTTTCGATACTATGTCCATAAGAACATACACAATTTTTACTTTTTACACTAATCTAGCCCCGGTTTTGATGCCTCCCAGGGGATCTCTAGTTATAAAAGAAGCTTATTTGTGGCTGGGCACGGTGGCTAACGCCTGTAATCCCAGCACTTTGGGAGGCCGAGGCAGGCAGATCACGAGGTCAGGAGTTTGAGACCAGCTTGGCCAACATAGTGAAACCCCATCTCTACTAAAAACACAAAAAATTAGCTGGGCACGGTGGCGGGCACCTGTAATCCCAGCTACTTGGGCGGCTGAGGCAGGAGAATCGCTTGAAGCCGGGAGGCGGACGTTGCAGCGAGCTGAGATCACACCACCGCACTCCAGCCCAGGCGACAGTGTTAGACTCCCTCGCAAGAAAAAAAAAAGGAAGAAGCAGCAGCAGCTTATTTGTACTGAGTGTGTGCTTCGCACAGGGTTCTTTAATTCAGCTGAGGATTGTGGAGCACCATACCTTGTGCCAGATCAGTGATTCTCAAACCCTAAACCCCCTGGAGGGTTTGTTAAAACACAGATTGCTGGGCTCCACCCCCAGAGTTTCTGATTTTTAAGTCTGTAGTGGAGCCTGAGAATTTGCATTTTTTTCTTTTTTCTTTTCTTTTTTTTTCTTTGAGAAAGTCTCGCTCTGTCACCCAGGCTGGAGTACAGTGTCACGATCTCAGCTCACTGCAGCCTCTGCCTCCTGGGTTCAAGAGATTTTTGTGCCTCAGCCTCCCGAGTAGCCGGGACTACAGGCATGTGCCACCACGCCCGGCTAAGTTTTGTTTGTTTGTTTTTGAGACAGAGTCTTACTCTGTTGCCCAAGCTGGTGTGCAGTGGTGCCGTCTCCGCTCCCTGCAACCTCTGCCTCCCCGGTTCAAGCAATTCTCCTGCCCCAGGATCCCGAGTTACACGCACACACCACCACACCAGCCTATTTTTTGTATTTTTAGTAGAGGCGGGTTTTCACCCTGTTGCCCAGGCTAGGAGAGTTTGCATTTTTAACAAGTTATCTGATGATGCGGAGGCTGAGACCAAGGACCACACTTTGAGAACAACTGAGTTCGATGTTCATGGGGAGAAACTAAGAATATGCCCTGGGAAGTCATGCTCCAACACAAGGAAACATACATGCCAACAACAAAGACAGTCCCATTGAGCGATAAATTATATGAAGAGAATGAGACCAAGCATGGTGGTTCACACTTGTAATCCCAACACTTTGAGAGACTAGGGTGGCTGCATTGCTTGAGTCTGGGAGTTTGAGACCAACCTGGGCAACATAGGAGACCCCATCTCTACAATAAATACAGGAATTAACCAACGTGGTGACACATGCCCATAGTCCCAGTTACTGAGAAGGCTGAGGAAGGAGGATAGCTTAAGTTGGAGAGTTGAGGCTGCAGTGAGCTGTATTCACAACACTGCACTCCAGCCTGGGTGGCAGAGGAAGACCCAGTCAAAAAAAAAAAAGGAAATGCTGGCTGCAGTGGCTCATGCCTGTAATCACAGCACTTTCAGAGGCCAAGGTGGGAGGACTGCTTGAGCTCAGGAGTTCGAGACCAGTCTAGGCAACAGAGTGAGACGCTGTCTCTTAAAAAAAAAAAAAAAAAAAAAAAAAAAACTTTAAATTAGCCAGGTGTGGTGGTGCACACCTGTAGTTTTGGCTACTCAGGAGGCTGAGGTGGGAGGATCACTTGAGCCAGGAAGGTCGAGGCTGTAGTGAGCTGGGATCGAGCCACTGCACTCCAGCCTGGGCAACAGAGTGAGACCCTATTTTTAAAAAAATTTTTTTAATTTAAAAGCGGGAAGCTACTGGAGTTTGGGAGCCGACAGGAGGGATTCCAGAGGGAAGGAGAAATGAAAGATGGAAGATAAGTTTTGGGTGCTGAGCCTTGGGAAGGCTTACAGCAGTCAGGTCCCTGTCCAGAAGTGGGTGGCATCGGAGAACGCAAGGGCTCACGTGCCCTGGGAACATCTGTCTTTCATGCGAACTTTACAAACACTCCAAAAGGAAAGCACGAGTCCCCCATCTTACAGGTGAGGAAACTGAGGCACACAGAGATGAAGGGACACGCCCAAGGCCCTACGGCTCACAGGACAGGACCTGCGTCCGTGCGAGGAACCCACGCGCCTCGCCCTGGCCCCGTTGCTCTTGCGGGCTGCGAGCGAGACCCACCCTGGCGCGCAGGCAGGGATGCCCTTGGGAGAGCCGCCCGACGACGGGGAGGCCCCGCGGACGGCGGGCGGGGCGGGGCGGGGTGCCCCCTCCGCCCTAGCTCCGCCCCCAGCGGCGCTGGAAGGGGCGCGAGGCGGGCAGCAGGGTGCAGGCGCGGGGCGCGGGGCAGGCAGAGCGGGCTACGGCGCGGAGCTCGCAGTGCAGCCCGCGCTTCCTAGCGTCCGTGCCTGGCCGCCTGTGCCCGCCGTGCCCGTGGCGCCATGGCCGCGGACGCTCTCCCGCTCCGGCCGCTGCTCCTGCTGCCGCTGCTGCTGCTGCTGCTGAGCGGCCGCCCCGCGCGCGCCGACAGTAAGGTAAGCGCGCCCCTCGGACCGGCGCGGCTCGGCGGGGAGCTGGGCGCGAGGGGGCGCTGTGGTGGGGGTGCAGCCCGGGAGGGAGCCTGGGGCCAGGGCGGAGGAACCGAACTTGGGACTTCTCAGCACTGAAGCCGCAGGGGCAGGGGCCGCGAGAGAGGAGAGCGTAGGGGAAGAAGCGCTGGAGATGTAGGGATGCTCAGGACCCGGGGCCTGAGGAAGGGGCGCTGGGACAGGGTCCGATTTCCGGAGGGGTCGGGGGATTCCCCGGAGTGCTGGCCAGGCTCGGGGTTCGTAGGGGAAGCTCCTGGCAAGTCTTACCCAGCGACTCCCAGGCTTGCAGCAAGCCATGCATGGGCCACGGCTTTCACGGTCCGCTGGGGACTGGGGGTCCCTTCTACCCGACGAACGCAGCCGGGCTGGCCACTCACCTGGCCTCTGATGTTCTTGCCAAAGACTGGGTGCACCCCCTGGAGGACTAGATAGCTCCAGAAGTGGTCTGAGCTGTTCTCTGCTGTGGCTAAGAGGATCTGCTCTGGTGTCAAGCCGACCTGGGTTCAGTCGCACATCCGCTTCTCAGCCGGTGCCATCACCTTTCTGAGCCTTCCTCTATTCACCTGTGGATACAGGAAGAATCATGGGACCCACTCCCTGCAGTTGATGGTCTCTAGATGCGGTGTGGTCATGCCTGTAAAATACTTAGCACCAGAGCACTTGGGGTGTTCTGGAAATGACTCCCTGATGGCCAGGCTCAGTGGCTCATATCTGTAATCCTAGCACTTTGGGAGGCCGTGGCGGGTGGATCGCTTGAGGTCAGGAGTTCAGGACCAGCCTGGCCAGTATGGGGAAACCCCATCTCTACTAAAAATACAAAAATTAGCTGGGTGCGGTGGCACGAGAACAGTGTAGGCAACACAGACCCTGTCTCTACAAAAAAAAAAAAAAAAAACCTTTAAATTAGCCAGGTGTGGTAGTGCACACATGTAATCCCAGCTACTGGGGAGGCTGAGGCAGGAAAATCGTTTGAACCCAGCAGGCGGAGGTTGCACAGTCAGTCGAGATTGCGCCAGTGCACTCCAGCCTGGGGAACAAAGCAAGACTCTGTCTTAAAAAAAAAAAAAAAAAAAAAGGAAAGGACAGACCTTGGGGAAAGTGAGGAGCAGGACCAGAGCCCTGGTCACAGAGCCTGAGGGCAAAAGAGTGACTTCCAATACCTCTCCAGCCTCTTTCCTGGTAGAATGTGAGTGTCCTGCCTGCCCATGGGCAGATAAAAGACAGAGGCCACTAGCCACACGGTGAGTATATGAGCAGTGGGCTCTGGCCAACCCTCAGCCTGATTCAGCTCAGGGCATGAAAGCACCCACGTACAATGCTGCTCAGGTACTCCAGAGACAAGGAGGGAATGAGTATTTTTTCCAATTTACATGTGGGGAAACAGTGGTGTTTACAGAGGCAGCTGGCTTGCACATTTAAAACCCTAAGTTCTGGCCTTCCTCTGCTAATCTTTTGCTGTGTGACCTTGGGCAAATCACTGCCTGCCTCTGGTCTTCAGTTTCTTCATCTGAGAAACATCTCCCCAACCTTCCTTCCATATGGGGCCTCTGGGATTCCCTGATCTGGCTCAGGTATGAGGACAGGTGAGTAGAAAATCCTAGATAACCTGATCAGTGCCTTGTCACCACTGGAATCTCTGGCTGGGAGGGATATTTGGTCTTGGGCATCCTCTGTGCAGAGAGCTGCAGAGCTTGTGGGGGAGAGCTCACATTCAAAACAAAGCAAAGACAAAGAAAACCCAACACCCTGTTTGTGTAGTGAGTCAGCCAAACACTTGCTAGGTTGTGTGTGTATGGGGCTGGGGGGGGGTGGTGTTTAGCTGTCCCAGGACAAGCTGGGGCTGGTGGGGTGGAGAGGCACAACCTAGAGCTTGCAGGATGAACAACTGGGGAACTCAGCACAGCCCTCCCCCAGGCACCTCCCTTCCCCACACCACTTCAGCCAGCTGGGAAAAATAAAAATCAAGTGATGGGTGAATTTACTCTGCATTCCTTAGCTCAGCCAGACTCCTGCTGGCTCTGCAGAGAGAGCTGTTTTCATTATCACCCGCTCCCTCCCCCGTCACAACCCCCTCTTCCTCTCCAAGCCCATTCCATTTTCCCTGGGGTGGAGGATGAGCCCTTCGGAGGGCCAGCCTGGGACTTGAAGTCAATGTAGGGCCCTAAAGGGTTAGGTTGGCCCCTCCTCAGGCTTCCTGTTCCTGGGAGCTCCAGTCTCCCCTCTGGCCCAGCACATTCAGGGGTCCAGGGCAGCTCACCCCCAGGACTCTGTTGGTCTCCTTGGCCAGCTCCTCGCTCAACGTGTTTTCTTTTCATGTTTATAACTAGGTCTCTCCTAAACTGGATTTTGAGTTTCCATCTAAGGAAGTGCTTTGTCAGGGCTGGGAGGAGGAGGGGGGCCCCACAACCTCCCTGGTATTTCTGAAGGGCTGCCCAGCACAGAGGTTGGAATGGACAGACAGGTAACCACATGACACCCAGGCATGGCACCGCAGACCTCTCGGGGGGCTGCTTCTTGCTGTATGTTCTTGGAATGTGGCCGAGAATTTTCCATCTCTACCTCAGTTTCCCCATCTGTGAAAGGGCTGCCAGTGCCTCACTCCCTCCAGCATCAAGGGGTGGGAAGGGGGTCTTTGGTCAGCCTGCTGATCAGGGAGCCAAGGACAAAGGGAAGCCCAAGGCCTGTGGGAGCCCAGCCAGGGGAGCAGGAGGGGCTAGAGCAGGCAGGCGGTGGTGTCCGGGGCTGGATCAGATGTTCCAGGCCAGGCCAGTCCCGGGGGTTTAGGTGTTGCTTCGCCTCCGCTCGGGGAGTTTCCGCCTGTGGGTGTAATTGGAAACAGCCTCTCCCGCAGGCGAGGGCCACAGAGTGGTGGAGTCCTCCTTCGACACATCAAGACTGTGAGGCCAGGCCAAGCCCCACTGGGTGTCTCTGCAAGGAGGGTCTTATCCCAACACTCCCTTTGGCTGGGGCATCTGGGGCAGAGCCTTGAAGAGCATCATGTGTGCCAAGCCATGTGCCCAGCACTTACATGCAGAATCTTACACATCTCTTGTGCTAACACTCTGAGGCTTCAGCGGCCCCTCCCCATTTTATGATCTTGAACACTGAGGCTCAAAAGAGTCTGATTAAGGTTGTTCAAAACTCCTAAACAGTGGGAGCCTGAATAGTTGAAGCCTCTAGGAAGCCTCCAGATAGCCTGGGGAGCCAGAAAGCATCTGAACCATAGGGTTGGAGTAGGGCCTAGGCATCTGCAGCTCCCAGGTACACTCGCAGGCAATTCTGAGGCATGGCCCCCAGTTGAGAACTCATGGAGCGAGTAGGGATCCATGGAGGTTTGTAGAGCAAGAGTAAAGCAGATTACCAAAGAGGAGCTTTTGGGAGATTCGTCCAACACAGGAAGCTGCTGTGTTGTCCAGGCAGCAGTTAATGTGGCCTGAACTAGGGCTATGGCTGTGGAGTGGAGAGCAGGGGACAGAGGTCGGAGATATTTAGGATGAAGGGTCAGAAGAACACGATGACTGACAGATTATCCAGGGTAAGAGGGAGGCTCAGAGATCCAGGCTGGGCAGGAGGGCAGGTAGACATGAGTCTGGGAGAAGATGCTGGGTCCAGTCTTGAATGGATTGAGTTTGGGGTACGTCTGGGCCTCCGGGGGAGGTGCTTAACTGGCACTGTGCTCATGTTCTCGGGGAGGTCTTTGCCTCATGGTGAGGTGGGGCTGGCCATGAGGAAAAAGGGTAGACCCAACTTCAAGATGACACAAGTTGGCCGGGTGCAGTGGCTCACACCTGTAATCCCAGCACTTTGGGAGGCCGAGGTGGGCAGATCACCTGAGGTCAGGAGTTTGAGACCAGCCTGGCAAACATGGTGAAATGCCATCTCTACTAAAAATACAAAAATTAGCTGAGCGTGGTGGCATGCACCTGTAATCCTGGCTACTCAGGAGGCTGACGCAAGAGAATCACTTGAACCTGGGAGGCAAAAGAGGTTGCAATGAGCTAAGATCGCACCATTGCACACCAGCCTGGGCAACAGAGCAAGAATCTGGCAAAAAAAAAAAAAAAAAAAGACACAAGTTGAGCCTATTCAGTTGCTGGAACATTTCACAGCTTGAATGCCCTCTCCTCCACTCTAGCTAGACTCATCCATCTGTCTGCAGAAGAATCTCGAATACACCTTCATCTCACTGTGGAATTTCCTTGCAAATACCTGAGTATCTTTTTAAGCACAAACCACTCCTACTTCTGGGGACTTTGGCATCAGTGTGTGCTAAGCAAGCCTACAGGGAGAGATGCAGGGCCAAGGCAGGGAGTTTCCTGCTTGGCACAACTCCAGACTTCGTGCCAAGGGCAGGATGGGCTGGGCCTGGTAGGAGCCCCAGGTTCTGTGCCCCCCAGGGACCCTCTCTACAGACCCATCTGTCCCAGCCCAGTTGCTCAGGGAGAAGCCCCTGTCTGGTGACTGTGGGTGGGCATGGGAGGGGCAACATGTAAACCAAGTTTTGGAGTCAGGCCATGCTGTGTGACCCTGGGCAAGCCCCTAGTCTTCTCTGATGCTCAGCTTTCTCCTCTCTAAGGTGGGGTTATCGTGAGAGCACAGAGAGGTAGAAAATAATGAGCAAAATGGCAGGAAGAGTTATCAGCAGTGATTTTGATAGCAGGTGCGCCTTAGAGAGCAGCTCTTCTGTGCCAGGCTCTATGCCGAGGCCCTGCATGCATTGATTGTTCAGACTCACCCTAAGCTTATCACAAAGGGACTGTGATTCTCCCCATTTTACAGAGGAGGAAGCTGAGGCTCAGAGGGGTCAAAGCCAAGCAGGGAGGAGGTATGGGAACTGGGACTTGAGTCCGAGTCTGGCTCTTCCCCCTGGCGCTCTGCTGCCCTCCAGCCAAGCACAGGATGTAGCAGTCACAGGAAGGGGGATCCTGCCTGGGTGCCTGGCAGCCGGCGCTGGGAGCAGAGGCCTTATTCCAACTCCTGGCCTTGTCAGGGCCTTGGCCGCCCCCATCAGGAGGTAGCACCTCATCTGAGGAAGGAAGGAATGTCACGGTCCGATGTGGAGGCAGCTGCTGGTGCGGGTGGGTGTTGGGAGTATGGGTGGGTCCCCAGGAAGAGGCTTCCCTGGCCTGGCCACACAGAACACACCCACATCTACCCGCTAGGCTCTTGACCCCATCTGGGGGAGTGGGTGGAGTGGCAAAGGGTCCCAGCAGAGCTGGGAAGGGGACCCAGGAGTCTTGAAGGACAGGCAGAGTTAGGGTGCAGACAGGCCTGAGGAATGTACAGGACCCTGAGCCTGACTGTTGGTGTTCACAGGCAGGGAAGAATTGGCCCGGAGTACACTTCACCCACCGAGAACCCAGGACACACCCACAGCCACCCTCCTCCCCACACTCCCAACCTCTCACTTTCCCCTGCCCCTCCACAGGCTGCAGAAAAAGCAGTGAGGGCAGGCACAGTAGCTCACGCCTGTAATCCCAGCACTTTGGGAGGCCGAGTTGGGAGGACTGCTTGAGCCCAGGAGTTTGAGACCAGCATGACCAACATGGTGAAACCCCATCTCTACAAAAAATACAAAAATTAGCCGGACATGGTGGTACATGCCTGTAGTCTCAGCTACTTGGGAGGTTGAGGTGGGAGGATCGCCTGATCCCAGGAGGTCAAGGCTGCAGTGAGCTGTGATGAGGCCACTCCACTCCAGCCTGGGTAGCAGAGCAAGACCTGTCTCAAAATAATAAGAATAATAAGAATAATAAGAAGAAGAAGAGGAAGAGGGAGAAGGAGAAGGAGAAGGTGAAGGAGAAGGAGAAGGAGAAGAAGAGGAAGAGGAAGAAGAAGAAGAGGAAGAACGGTTCACACTTAAGATGGACTCAATATGTGCTAGGCCCCGTTCTTTACTTTTATTAACTCATTTAATCCTCACAACAACCTCATGATGTGAAAGCCCATTTTACAGATGAGGAAACAGAGGCACAGAAATATTAAGTTGCCTACAATCTCATTGAGGCTCCAGATGCCATGCTCTTAACCTTGTGCTCTAGCATGTCTGCAAAATGCAGGCTCATTTACCCAACAGATATTTACAGAGCTCCTACTGTAGGCCAGGCAAACACTGTTATGAAGACATAGGAGGAAACTAGACAAAGGCCCTGCCTCTAATGGTACCTATTGTGAGGGGGAGACAGAATATACACAAAAACAGGTCTCATATTTCAGGTAGTGATCGGTTCAGTAAAGAAAACAAAGCCACTAGATGAAGGGATAGAGAGTAACAGGAGGTGAGCAGTCAGGGAAGGCTTCTCAGAGGAAGCGACTCGTGAGCAGAGAACTAAGTGATATAAGGAAGTGAACCATGGAAATATTGGGGGATAGGAGTTTCTGGGGAGGGTATGGCATATACAAAAGCCCTGAGGCTGGAGTGGAGAGAGCCGTAGAAAGGGAAGGGCAATAAGGAGTGGTTCAAGGGAGAGTACCAACTCACATGAGCCTTGAAGGCCATGGTAAGGGCTTTGAAGGTCACAACACCTCCCCAACACACACAGAGGCAGGTTTTGTTTTGTTTTGTCTGAGACAGAGTCTTGCTCTGTTGCCCAGGCTGGAGTGAAGTGCGCGATCTTGGCCCACTGCAATCTCCGCCTCCCCGGTTCAAGTGATTCACCTGCCTCAGCCTCCTGAGTAGCTGGGATTACAGACACCCGCCAGCACGCCCGGCTAATTTTTGTATTTTTAGTAGAGACAGAGTTTCACCATGTTGGCCAGGCTGGCCTCGAACTCTTGACCTCAGGTGATCCACCTGCCTTGGCCTCCCAAAGTGCTGGGATTACAGGCGTGAGCCACCGTGACCAGCCAGAGGTATTATTTAAAAGTGTAATGCATGTGAAACCTGGTATATAAGTGATCAATAAAAGGTCTCCATAATTTTTATTATCATAGTAAAGCAAACATAACAAAAATTATCATTTTTAAGTATACACTTCAGTAGCATTTGGTACATTCACAATATCATGCAACCATCACCACTATCTATTAATAGTTCCAGAACATCTTTGTCATCCCAAAAGGAAACCCCATACCAATTAAGCAGCCACTCCCCATTTCCGTCTCTCTGTAACTCCTGGAAGCCACTAATCTGTTTACTGTCTCTGTGGACTTGCCTCTCCTGGATACAGCATTTCATATTAATGGAAACATATAATATATGGCCTTTTGTGTCTGGCTTCTCTCACTTAACATAATATTTCAACATTTATCCATGTTGTAGCTTGAATCAGTACTGCATTCCTTTCACATTTTTTTTTTTTTTTTTGAGACGGAGTCTCACTCTGTTGCCCAGGCTGGAGTATAGTGGCCTGATCATCGCTTACTGCAGGCTTGACCTCCCAAGCTCAAGTGATCCTCCCACCACAGCTTCCCTAGTAGCTGGGACTATAGGCTTGCGCCACCATGCCCACTTAATTTTTGTATTTTTAAAAGAGACAGGGTTTCACCATGTTGACCAGGCTGGTCTCGAACTCCCAACCTCAGGTGATCCACCCACCTCAGCCTCCCAAAGTGCTGGGATTACAGGCATGAGCCACTGTGCCCAGCCCTACATTCTTTTTTATGGCTGAATATTTCTCTATTCGGTTGATGGACATTTGGGTTGTTTCTACCTTGTGGCTACTGGGAATAATGCTGCTGTGGACATTCACTTCCAAGTCTTTGTTTGGATACCCATTTTCAGTTCTCTTGGGTATATACCCAGGAGTAGAATTATTGGATCTTATGGGAATTTTATGTTTAACTTATTGAGGAATCGCCAAACTTTTTCACAGCGCATTAATATTTAAATTGTCGAGCCAGGTGAGGTGGCACATACTGTAATCCCAGAACTTTGACAGGCCAAGGCAGGAGGATCACTTGTGGCCAGGAGTTCAAGACCAGCCTGGGCAACATAGTGAGATCCCATCTCTACAGAAAATTTAAAAATTAGCCAAGCGTGGTGTCATGTACCTATAATCTCAGCTACTTGGGAAGCTGATGCAGGAGGATTGCTTGAGCCCAGGAGTTTGAGGTTACAGTGAACTATGATCCCACCACTGCATTCCAACCTGGGCCAAACAGCAAGACCCTCTCTCTACAAAAAACAAAACAACACAAAAAGACTGGGCGCATTGGCTCATGCATGTAATCCTAGCACTTTGGGAGATAGAAGAGGGAGGGTTACTTGAACCCAGGAATTCGAGACTAACCTGGGCAATATGGCGAAACCCCTTCTTTACAAAATATACAAAAATTAGCCGGGCATGGTGGCACATGCCTGTAGTCCCAGCTACTAGGGAGGCTGAGGTGGGAGGATCACTTGAGCCTGGGAGGTCAAGGCTGCAATGAGCCATGAGCAGGCCACTGCACTCCAGCCTGGGCAACAGAGAGAGACCCTGTCTTTAAAAATACACACACAGAGACATAGACACACACACACACACACACACACACACACACACACAGCTATTATTATTAAAAGGCCTTCACCACCTCTAATTGCACCCCCTCCCACCCGCCAAACACTCTTATCCCAAGGCTGGCTGGCCAGCTGGCTTCTGCCATCTCTCCCTTCCTCCCTGCCATAGCACTGCCTAGTAGTAACTCACTGGAGCCCCTCTTGCTCCCCCCAACAGGTGTTTGGGGACCTGGACCAGGTGAGAATGACCTCAGAGGGCTCCGACTGCCGTTGCAAGTGCATCATGCGGCCCCTGAGCAAGGATGCTTGCAGCCGAGTACGCAGTGGGCGGGCGCGCGTGGAGGACTTCTACACGGTGGAGACCGTGAGCTCGGGCACTGACTGCCGCTGTTCCTGTACCGCGCCTCCCTCCTCTCTCAATCCCTGTGAGAATGAGTGGAAGATGGAGAAACTCAAAAAGCAGGCGCCCGAGCTCCTCAAGGTAGACTTGGTGGGGTGATGGAGGGAGTAAGGGCCTATCATGAGCTGGAGCCTGCTGTCTTACCAGTGAACATTCCACATGCTCTGTGAGGCGGTTGCTGTTACTGCCCCATTTCACAGATGAGGAAACTGTGGCTCCCTGAGGGGAAGCCACTTTTTGCCAGGAAGTGACAGAGGCAGGATTCTTCTGCTAGTTTATCACCTATTCCAATGTCTTGTATTTTACCCAAACCAATTCAACTGTTGGCACCTAGCTATACTTTAAATTTTGTGGCAGTGTATTGTTTTTATTTTATTTTATTTTATTTTATCTATTTCTTGAGACAGAGTCTCGCTCTGTCGCCCAGGCTGGAATGCAGTGGCATGATCTCGGCTTGCTGCAACCTCCATCCCCCGGGTTCAAGCGATTCTCCTGCCTCAGTCTCCTTCGTGACTGGGATTACAGACATGCACCACCACACCCGGCAAACTTTTGTATTTTTAGTAGAGACAGGGTTTCAACGTGTTGCCCAGGCTGCTGGGATTACAAGCATGAGCCACCATGCCCGGCCTTCTCTGAGTTCTTAAACCATCCTGTGAAATATAGGATCATCTCCTCATTTTAGAGGTGAGAAAAACCGAGGTTGAGAGAACTTAGGTAACTTGCCCAACCTCACATAATGATGGACAGCCTCCAATCTATGCCATGCTTTTGTGCAAATTAGAAACTTTCTGCCAGGCATGGTGGCTCATGCCTGTAATCCCAGCACTTTGGGAGGCCGAGGTGGGCGGATCACGAGGTCAGGAGATCGAGACCATCCTAGCAAACACGGTGAAACCCCGTCTCTACTAAAAATACAAAAAAATTAGCCGGGTGTGGTGGCGGGCGCCTGTAGTCCCAGCTGCTCAGGAGGCTGAGCCAGGAGAATGGTGTGAACCCGGGAGGCGGAGGTTCAGTGAGCCAAGATCGCGCCACTGCACTCCAGACTGGGCGACGGAGCAAGATTCCATCTCAAAAAAAAAAAAAAAAAATGTTTGTGGAGTTGGAGTCTTGCTGTGTTGCTCAGGCTGTTCTCAAGTTCCTGGGCTCAGGCAATCCTCCCCCCTCAGCCTCCCAAAATGCTGGAATTACAGGCGTGGGTCACTGTGCCTTTCCAGTTTGGTGCCTTTTGAAAGTATGTTTTTCTTTTATAACTTCTCCCAAACTACATCTATTTTGCCTGTTTGGTGTCATAAACTGTAAAAGGTCTGAGATGCTACCCTACTTGTAAGCTAACAAGTTAGCCTGCCAGTTTCATGGAAGCTGGCAGAAGATGCAGCCTCCTGGTTCAAAGACAAAGGACTTTATTACAGCAATTGCCAGGTTTCCCCGGCTCCAATTGCCATGGGCTAATGCAGTGAGGGTCAGATAACACCTGCATGTATAATAATGTGTGTTACAGAGAGGAGCCCTGAGCTTAGAGAATCTGAGTCTTTTGTAACAGGCACCAAGGATGCCTGCCCTTTCCTCTGGAAAGAAACAGTGTCTGTCTTCCAGAGCTGTTCACTATACAGCTAGATGGCTCAGCACAGAGGCAGTCAGTGCCTCTGCACGTAAGTCACTCAGAAAAGCAAGAGATCCGTGAAGAACTGTCTCCCAACATGTGGCTAAAAATGTTTTCTTTAAATTCAACTTTAGTTTTGTTTTTGTAATGTCTGAGTGAATGCCAAGCTCTCAAAATTGGGTGGGGAGTCAGGGGGAATGAATTTTAAGCAAAGTGGCATCTTGACAGCTTGGCAGTCCCTGGATCACACTATCTCCGTGGGTCTCACCTAGGACCCCGCAGACTCAAGGCACCCAGGCCATAGGCCAGTCTTCAGTTATAGGAACAAACCCAATTTCTGCTCAAGTCAACTTCTCGATAACTGAATTGTACACGTTTGACATGAGGACACAAAGCCCTTTCATAAACGCTGGCTCATTTAATTCTTGGCTAATTTAATCCTTGCTACAACACTTTGGAGAGGGGACTTATGGTACCAGCTTTACTAGTTGGGGAATCTGAGGCCCAAAGAGGGGCTGTGGCCTACAAGAAAGTGTGGCAGTACTAAGACTTTTTTTTTTTTTTTTGATACAGAGTCTCACTTTATCGCCCAGGCTGGAATGCAGTGGCACAAACTCAGCTCACTGCAACCTCCACCCTGCTCCCCCTTTCAAGTGATTCTTATCTCAGCCTCCTGAGTGGCTGGGATTACAGGCGTGCGCCACCATGCCCGGCTCATTTTTTTTGTATTTTTAGTCGAGATGGGGTTTTGCCATGTTGACCAGGCTGGTTTCAAACTCCTGAACTCAAGTGATCTACCTCCCTCGGCCTCCCAGTGTGCTGAGACTACAGGTGTGAGCCAAGTATTACGATTTGAACCCAGGAATTCTCTACTTTGTCCCCTGCCCATTGAAGGGTCTTGAGACCTCTTTCTCAGCCAGGAGCCCGCAATCCCTTAGGCCTTCTCAGTGCACAGCTGCCGCAGGGCTCTGGGTCAGCAGAACTGGCTTAGGGTAATGGGGGATTGACCTGGCAGGTGGGGCTGGAGGAGGAGGAGAGGATACGCTGCCTCACTGGTACCGCAAGGGTGGGAGTGGGTACGCTTCAGAGACCGCCCAAGAGGAGAAGGTGGCAGAGGCAGTAGGAGACAGGGCTGGGGCTTCCTCTTGTTCAGTTTGGCTCCCCCTCCCTCGGCAGGACATTCTCTCTAAGCATCCCCCAAAGGAGGAGGCTAAGGGGAGCCCATGGGATGGGGCTGGGGCACCTACCCTATATCCCACCCCATCTCTACCCCAGCCCTTCCCCTCAAGCTAATAACTCCAGCTGTGGTTTGTCCTCAGCAGCACGGCTATGGTAGGAGACACACTTTGAGTAGCATGACTACTGTCCCCATCTTGTCTGGGGGTTGGAAGGTGCCTGTCACCTCCCCACTCCTTTTTCTTCCTGATGGGACCAGACATGAATCCTGCCTCGAAGAGTCCCCAGGCTTGTGAGGACACAGCTGCTGACCCCAGTAATGGCAGGGTGATCAGTGCTGGGCCAAGGGACATCCCAGGGACTGTGGGAGCCCCAAGGAGGGGATAGAAGGATAGAGCTGGGCCTTGAAAGATGTGTAGGAGTCCCTGAGGCAGAGAGGAAAGAGGAAAGGAGGGCATTTCTGGGTAATGGCAAGCGGGGTGGGTGTGGCACCGGCTTTCTCTCTTCTCTGGCCACACCCGCACCTGTGACTTCCTCTAGCACAGCGCTTCTCAAGCTATCTGTGGTGAAGGGCCAGTTTCTTAAAGTTCTCTCAAGAGCCAATAGTTTCGTAAAATGCTATACAAATGAATTATTAGAAAAACGAAATGAGGCAGACCAGGCGCAGTGCATCACGCTTGTAATCCCAGCACTTTGGGAGGCCGAGGCGAGTGGATCACCTGAGGTCACGAGTTCGAGACCAGCCTGGCCAACATGGCGAAACCCTGTCTCTACTAAAAATACAAAAAATTAGCCAGATGTGGTGGCACACACCTGTAATCCCAGCTACTTCAGAGGCTGAGGCAGGAGAATTGCTTGAACCCGGGAGGCAGAGGTTGCAGTGAATAGAGATCACGCCGTTGCACTCCAGCCTGGGCGACAGAGCGAGACTCTATCTCAAAAAAAAAAAAAAGAAAGAAAAATGAAATGAGACAAAGGCAGACATACACAGGATAAATCTAGTGTTTTAGTGTGAGAGTCTACAGAGATAAAATTGCTCTGTCAAGTGCTACAAAAGTTCCTGAAAAACCTACTCCCATTTTCTATAATGATTGTACCACAGGCTGGTAGTAAGCAGTTTGAACCTGTGCTGCTCAGCAGATCGCACATTGAGTGGCATGGCTGGAAGCACCATCTTTCTCCTCTCCTCCAGGTCATAGCACAGGCTGCTCCCTTTACTTGGCATGTCCTTTCCTGGGCAACTTTGCTTAATTAGTGCTCCTCCTACATAGCTCGGCCCAAACAAAACTTCCTCCTGGCAGGCTTTCCTGATCCACACCTGCACCCAGAAAAGATCAGCACCCATCATTAATGATCTGGTCACCTGTGTGTCACTACCTGTGCCCCTGATTCTGGCACCTGTGTGTCACTGCTTGTGTCCCCGATCTAGACACATGTGTGTCACTACCTGTGCCCTTGATCTAGGCACATGTGTGTCACTACCTGTGCCCCTGATTCAGGCACCTGTGTGTCACTACCTGTGTCCCCTGATCTGGATGCCTGTGTGTCACTACCTTTGTCCCCTGATCTGGGCATCTGTGTGTCACTGTGTCCTTGGCAGCCTGTGAGGGACCAGGGTGCCCCACGTTGGTCTTGCTTATCACTGTCCTCAGTGCCTGGCTGAGTAAGCATGTGCTGGCCTGGAGGAGGGTGGCAGGGGCAGATCATGGAGGGGTCAGATGCCAGACTCAGGAGATGAGAAGCCACATGTGGGCAGTGGGGAGCCACAGAGAGTCATCTTGCAAGGGACCGACCCTCGCCAAAGCCAGTGTTGGTGGCCGCGAAGGCAGCAGAGTGAAGCCGGGAGCTTCCCATGTAGCCCCTGGGAGGAGCAATCAGCGCTACTGGGCTTCATGAAGGCCTCTTTGTGTCCACGCAATGCTGAGCTCTGTCCAGACACAACTGCTCCTTACCACGGCCCTATTGCCCCATTTCTTAACACAGAAAACTGAGACACAGAAGCGTCTATGGGCATGGTTCTCAATCTGTGTTCCATAGAGCCCCAGGGGTCCCATGCAGACCCTCGGGGCCAAAGCCAGGTTGTGGGAGAGCAGAGAAGCCACTGAGCCTATCTTTGCTTCCAGCAGAGACTCCCACCCCCGTCTCTGTTTTAGAGATCAGCTTCTGCTCAAAGAAAAGCTCCCTGGCTTAAAACAGTTTGAGTACCCCCTGGGAAGGTGGGAGTAAAACTGTTTTGGAAACAGCCAGCCAGGACCAGACTGGAGCACTGGCCTGTGCAGGCCCTGGGAAATGCCGGAGGGCTCAGGGTGGGGCTGCGCGTGAGGGTGGGCCCGAGGAACTGCCCTTCCCAAGAAGCCAGGGAAGGCTAATTTCCCAACCAGTCCCTTGTGCCAACGTCTCCCTGACACTCTGGCATTTTGGCCATCTGGAGGGAGTGTTATATCCTGATGAGGCGTGACAGAGAGGAGAGGGGGAGGGGCAGCTGTAGGGCAGAGCCCTGGGCTGGGCAAGGGATACCCAGCGGCTGCTCCAGGTCCTGCTGCTGACCTGTTGTGCAAGGCCCTCTCTCTCTCGGCTGCCATTTCCCTGTCTGAGCATGAGACAGGAGCCATAAAGCATGATAGGAAAGAGACGGTGATTAATGATATCTCCCCAGCTGAATGTTGGGAAAGAGACGTGGATTTATATGAATTTGGGTTCTACTCCTGGTTCTACCTTTGAACAGCTGGGTGGCCTTGGGCAAGTCACTTCCCCCCTCTAAACTGCAGCTTCTCCATCTGTAAAATGAGGGTGGAAGTTGTCCATACGTGGTGTTAGTTCGGGCCACCAGAGGCAGGCTCTGAAGCCAGAGATTCATGTGCAAGTGATTTATTTTGAAAATACTCCTGCGCTGGACGTGACGGCTCATCCCTATAATCCCAGTGCTTTGGGAGGCTGAGGCAGGAGGATCACTTGAGACCAAGATGGGAAGATCATTGTTCAAGACCAGCTGGAATAACATAGTAAGATCCCATCTCTACAAAACATAAAAAACTTAGCTAGGCAGGATAGTGCACACCTGTACTCCTAGCTACTCCAGAGGCTGAGGTGGGAGGATTGCTTGAGCTCAGCAGTTCGAGGCTGCAGTGAGCTATGATCGTGCCACTGCACTCTTTCCTGGGTGACAAATAAACAAATAAACAAAAAAAGAAAATACTCCCCAGAGAAACTGGAAATGAAGTGAGAGAAGCAAGGTGGGGAGAGGAGGGCATCCAAGTGAGGGTGTGGTCTTGGGAAAAGTGCCAGCCTCAGTCACATCCCCAGAGGAACTCTGGAGTGGGTACAACCGCTCAGTTCGTCCCCACTGGGGCTAGTGAGTTGGGATTATAGATGTCCATGTCAGTAGGTCATTGCCTCAAGGCAGCTGCAAGAGGATGTGTACTCTCTGGCACTTTGGTGACAAAAGCAACTCTAAAGAGAGTCACAGATGCAGGCACATGGAAGCCAGGGACGGGCACAAAAACTAGTAAGAGGGATCTCAGAAGATCCGGACAAACTCCTCCAGTGCCCACTACACACCTCATGAGGTTGTTACAATGATTAATTGGTATAACTCCTTAAAGCCCTTAGCACAGCACCTGGCACGTGGTAAGGGCTCAGAAGATGGAACCTGTGGCTTTTCTTGTGATTATTAGCAGGCTGGGGCTGGTGAGTGCCCAGGGCCCATGCCAGTCACTCTGAGGCTATGGGGTTCTGGAGTTCTCTTTTATTTTAATCATTATTATTATTATTATTATTATTATTATTATTATTATTTTGGAAGAGAGCCTCACTCTGTCGCCCAGGCTGGAGTGCAGTGGCGTGATCTCAGCTCACTGCAACCCCCATCTCCTGGGTTCAAGTGATTCTCCTGCCTCAGCCTCCCAAGTAGCTGGGACTACAGGTGCACACCACCATGCCTGGCTAATTTTTGTGTTTTTAGTAGAGATGGTGTTTCACCATGTTGACCAGACTGGTCTTGAACTTCTGACCTCAGATGATCCACCCGCCTTGGCCTCCCAAAGTGCTTGAATTACAGGCGTGAGCCACAGCGCCTGGCCCAGGTTCTGGAGTTCTTCATTGCAGCAGGGCTCCTTTTACCCTCTGTGCCTGACTGGCCACGTGCTGCACTCTTTGCCTAACCATCCCCCTTCCCTGGGCAGCTACAGTCCATGGTGGATCTCCTGGAGGGCACGCTGTACAGCATGGACCTGATGAAGGTGCACGCCTACGTCCACAAGGTGGCCTCCCAGATGAACACACTGGAAGAGGTAAGGGCGGGGCTGCTGCCAGAGGCCGGGCTGGTGTGATGCTGGGGGCCGAGGGCACTGTCCGAAGGGGCCCGGGCAATCCAGGCTTCACCCTGGTGACCATGGGAAGCCACACTCCAGCCAGGAGTTGGGGGAGGGAAATGCTGGCCACAGGGTCCAGCCTCTGGGGAAGAGGTCTAACTGGCTCAAGGGCCTGCGGGAAGCTGAAGTCTGAGTGGAGAAACCGAGGCACCTGCTGGTTGTATCAGACGGGTTCAGAAGGAGCTGGAACTTGCAGTTGCCCGCAGTGTACCAAGATCAGGACCCACAACTCTGGGTATACCATTCACACGAGATTCCTTGGTGGCTGGGCATGGTGGCTCAGTGTCCTGGCGCAGCGCCTCACACCTGTAATCCCAGCATTTTGGGAGGCCGAGGCAGTCGGATCACTTGAGGCCAGAAGTTTGAGACCAGCTTGGCCAATATGATGAAACCCCATCTCTACTAAAAATACAAAAATTAGGCATGGTGATGCATGCCTGTAATCCCAGCTACTCAGTAGGCTGAGGCAGGAGAATCACTCAAACCTGGGAGGCGGAGGTTGCAGTGAACCGAGATCGTGCCACAGCCTGGACGACAGAGCAAGACAGTCTCAAAATAAAAAATAAGATACCTTGTCGGAGTGCCCCCTGGGTTGGTAAAACATGGCAGGACTGACCGAGCCCACTGGGCTAGTGCCCAGCTGCTATGGAGGCAGAGGTGCTACGTGTCCTGTCCTGGTCAGGGTGAAAGTGCTATAGGACTGGGCAGGGGACCAGGACTGCCCCTGGGGACAAGGACAGAGTTGGGCGAGCATGGGGGTCTGAGCTGCAGGTTCGAGGTTTGTATCTCTGCTGGCACAGCATCACCTCCGCCTGTTTCCTGCATCCGGCCTCTGCTGGGCCACTGGGAGTCTGGGGACATACAGCTGCCAGGAGCGGGCGTGGGGGCTTCCTTTCCCAGCTTCCTTTACAGAGGGAGGGGGCACCTGGGCATCCTGTGCCCCAGGGTGGGAGATTAACCCCTTCCTCACCCCACAGTTGGGATCACAGTGACTTTAAGTATTCAAAAAGTGTTTGGTATGTACCTACTGTTGGCCAAGCCCCTGGCAGCAGGGGAGAAAGTTGACACTTGGTGAATTTCTTCTGTGTCCCGGGATTTCCTGTGCAGCTAGTACATTCCAGGCCCTCCCGTTGCTGGCTCTGAAGTTATTCTCCTTTGATCTTTCCTCTTGTAACCTCAGGAAATGTTAACCCACTTCATGTAACTCTGAGCCAGACGATCGGGAGGGTATATCTGCTAGGCCTGGAACAAACCAGAGGTGGTTTCCACAGCCACAGAAAAATGACTTTTTAATGATCTTCTGTTTTGCATTATCTGTGCTTTGCTTCTGTTAACCATGGTTTACTAAGTGATAACCTTATGGAAAAATTAAGAGCAAAAAGCTTTTGTTCACCCTGGGAGGAGGTGGGGAGAGAACAGCTGGCTCCCTCTGCCAAAGGGAAGAACCTCCTAGGGGTCAGCAGCAACTTGGGGTCTCAGCTTCCCTCTGCTGTCTTCCCTGACACCAATAGTTCTCAACCAGGGGTGATTTTACCCCAAGGGGAAAACTGGCAATAGCTGGAGACATTTTTGGTTGTTACAACTTAAGTGGGGGACAGGATGAGTGCTACTGGGCTTCTACTGGTTAGAGGCCAGAGATTCGGCTAAATACCCTGCAATACACAGGATAGTCCCCAAAAGCAAACAGCTATCTGGCAAACGTCAATAGTGATGAGGTTGAGAAAATCTGTCATACGCTTTGACTTCTATCATCCCTGGGATCCAGTTTTTTGTTGTTGTTGTTGTTTTTGTTTTGGAGACAGGGTCTCGCTCTGTAGGCCAGCCTCAATGCCCCAGGATCAACTGATCCTCCCACCACAGCCTCCCAAGTACCTGGGACTGTAGGTACACACCACCACACCCAGCTCATTTTTTGTGTTTTTTGTAGAGATGGGGTTTTACCATGTTGCTCATGCTGGTCTTAAATTCCTGGGCTCAAGCTTTCCTCCTGCCTTGGCCTCCCAAGGTGCTGGGATTACAGGCATGAGTCACTGCACCCGGCCCCTGGAATCTAGCTTAAAATGCACTTTCATATTCCATAGCCTTTCCGGTCCTCACAGTGACCCTGCCATTTAGTTGTTATTATGATGACATAATAGCCCATTTCACAGGCAGGGAAACTGAGGCTCGGAGAAATAGTTATTAGCCCAAAGTTACCCAGCCAGGAAGTAGAAAGCAAAGATTTGAACCCAAGGGTATCTGACTCCTGCCTGTTGCCTCTTGGTCCCTGAACCTGAGTCACCCAGGGCTGACTGGACATCAGTCACTTTTAGGTTATCTTTTCCTCTGTAACAATTTCTACAAATGAAATTGTGGACCCATAATTCTATTGCTCCGTGGCTTCTCAGCAAACTGGTGTTTTCTGCCTCTGACTTCGTGTCTCCTGCTTTAGCTGAAAAGTAGACTCAGACGAAAGAATCCCAGGTCTACTAGAGCTTTGGGGAACTGGGACTGATACCTGCCAGGTCCCCCAGGTTTCCAAGTCCTCTCCAGTGAACAAGGCCAGCTTGGGCGACAGCCCGGCAAAGGAGATCCCTAGATAGCGGGAGGTTTACAGAGCAAGGAGCATTGCGGTTCTAAGCAGTCTGTCTGCTCCTGGCAGGATTCAGAACCAGGAGTAGATCCAGGAGCTGGTGTGGGAGCTGTTAAAAGTGGGCAGGGAGCCAGAGTCCCAGCAAGGGGAGATGAGGCAGGGAAGGAGAACAGGTCTGGGAGTAAAGACAGGGCTCAGTGCAGGGAGAGGAGCCGGTACGGCCCAGGAGAGAAGTTGGAGACTTGGAGAGGGCAGAGATTCACCCTCAGCAAAACCCCAAAGGGTTTCACTCCATCTACATTGTTTGAAGATTTTACAAGCAGAGGGTATTTATGTATTATGTATACAATTTTAAAGTAAATTTAAAGTAGCAAAAGATTGGAAGCAACTTGAGTAACCATCCATAATGGGCAGAGGTGGTGGCTCACGCCTGTAATCCCAGCACTTTGCAAGGCTGTGGTGAGTGGATCACTTGAGGTCAGGAGTTCAAGACCAGCCTGCCCAACATGGCAAAACCCCGTCTCTACTAAAAATACAAAAATTAGCCAGGCATGGAGGCACGCACCTGTAGTCCCAGCTACCCAGCAGGCTAGGCAGGAGAATCACTTGAGCCCCGGAGTAAGAGGTTGTTGCAGTGAGCTGAGATGGCACCACTGCCCTCCAGCCTGGGCAACAGAGTGAGACTCCGTCTCAAAAAAAAAAAAAAAAAAAACCATCAATAAGGGACTGGGTGGCCAGGTGCAGTGGCTCACACCTGTAATCCCAGCGCTTTAGGAGGCCAAGGCAGGCAGATCACTTCAGGCCAGGAGTTCAAGACCAGCCTGGCCAACATGATGAAACCTTGTCTCGATCCGGCCACTGCACTCCAGCCTGGGCGGCAGAGCGAGACTCCGTCTCAAAAAATAAAAAAAAATAAAAAAAAAATAAAAAAATAAAAAAAAATTAAAAAAAATAGCTGGGCATGTGGTGGGTGCCTGTAGTCCCAGCTACAAAAAAATAAAAAAGAAGGAAGGAAGGAAGGAAGGAAGGAAGGAAGGAAGGAAGGAAGGAAGGAAGGAAGGAAGGAAGGAAGGAAGGAAGGAAGGAAGGAGGGAGGGAAGGAGAAGAAAAGAGAAGAAAAGAAAAGAAAAAGAAAAAATAAGGGACTGGGTAAATAAATTGTGGCCTCTCAAGCAATGGCATACTGTGTGGCCATGAGAAGGAACAGAGCACAATATATGCAGATATGCATCAGTTCCCAAAATAGGCTGTTCAGTAAAAAAGCAAAGTGGTAAAAATATGTGTGTATGTATACATGTGTTCCTCTGAATACACAGACTCTCTTTAGAAGGATACACAAGGAACCTATAATAACTGTCGGCACTGAGAAATAAAGGTGGGAGGGTGACATTTTTATAGCCATTTATATCTTGTAAATTTAGTACCATGCACACGTATTTTTTTATTCCTTCACTTTTTAAATTCAAAAAGTTCATAAATACAGGGTCTCTTGGGGCCTATTTTTCCTGCCCATGCTTGCTGGGACCGCTCCCAGCCCATTCGGAGGACTGGACAGCAAAGCCTAATGACCGAAGCTGGGGTGTCCCTCCAGGCTGGGGGTTCAGAGGAAGCTGGCCCAGGAAAGACCTCCAATCCTGCCCCCTCCACAGAGCATCAAGGCCAACCTGAGCCGGGAGAACGAGGTGGTGAAGGAGAGCATGCGCCACCTCAGCGAGCAGTTGAGGCACTATGAGAATCACTCCGCCATCATGCTGGGCATCAAGAAGGAGCTGTCCCGCCTGGGCCTCCAGCTGCTGCAGAAGGATGCCGCCGCCGCCCCCGCCACCCCTGCCACGGGCACTGGTAGCAAGGCCCAGGTGAGGCCCCAGCTCTGATCACAGGGCGGGAGCTGGCTGAGCTTGGGAGCTCAGTGTGCCAGGACGTTGGCCCTGAGGGCCAGCTCGGTGGGGGTTTGGGGTTGTAAGATGGGGTTGAGGGCTGGCACAGCTAGAGAGTCCCTGGCAGGGTGAGGTGCAGGGGGTCCCTGCTGTACAGCAAACACAGTCAGCACAGGGAATGGGGATAGGCCTGGGGATCCTGCCAAGGGGGCTGGTCCCTAAGCCAGGTGTTTGGCAACCTTCTCATTCCCAAGTTTGAAACTAGTGGGGACAAGCTTGTGGAGGCGGTGCCCCCTGCCTAGCCCTCAGAGACCAGGTTGGCTGCAGCAAAACCGCTTCTAGCCTCCCCTGCTGTGGCTGGGCCCTTGGCTGGGTTGAGCCTGCTCAGAGGGAGATGGGCAATGCCTCAGAGACCCCTGCAGACTGATACCCATTCATCTAACCCACCCTGGGGTAGAGAACTCCAGTGCACCCAGGCACTCCACCTCCAAGCTCAGAGCACACAGTGAGCAGAGGCACTGGTTCTGTCACTAGGCAGAGTCACCCGTGACAGATAACCTGCGTGCAAATGTGATAAACATCCTCTCTGTAGGCAGATGAACTGCAAAGCTGGTTCTCCCTCTGAGCAGATCGATTAGAAAGAACAACTACTTTTGGGTGAGCCAGTTGCACAGAGGCTCCAGCCTTTGCTGGGTATGTGGCTTGGCGAATGGAGCGCAGACTGGATTCAACCCCTTTCGGGCTCCTCTGGCCAGTCACCCTGGGGCAAGACACAAGCCACACCGTTATTCACGCTGGCCTTGTGTTTCGGTGAGTGACTGAAGAAGGGAGCTGACATTTGTGAAATTCCTACTTTAAAACTTGACTCTCTCACAGACATTGTCAGTGAATCCCATCGTCACCTGGGAGGAGGGGTGACACTGCCCATTTGGCAGATGAGGCACGGAGAGAGGTCACATGGAGAGGCGGTGGCGGAGCTGGGACTGGCAGCTAGGTCTGCGTGACTGCCAAGCCCACCCTCTTCCTCTCTTCCTCTCCACATCTCGGTCTCCTTTGCCGACACTGTGATAATGAGGCCATTTGTGTCTGCAACTGGGACCGCCTAGATGCCGATAAAGCGGCTAGGAAGCCTGTGCCTTGGCCCCCAGCTGGCTTCCTGCTCATTCCCGTGCCAATTCCACAGGCGAGAATGAAGCGTGTTTTGGCAATGGTGCAGAAGGGACCCGGCTACTGTACTTGCCGTATCTGCTGGAGTTTCTGCCTAACAATGAGTGATGTCACAGGCTCTGTGTTCTTGTGCCAAGCCAGCATCAGAGGCATTGAAATAGGAAGTGAAAACAACAAAGCACAAAACGTTAGAAATGGCATATCCTAGAGGTTGGGTGACCAACCCTGTCCCAGTTTGCCTGGGACTGAGGGTTTTTTCAGGATGCAGCACTTTTAGTGCTAAAACTAGGAATGTTCCAGGCACTCTGGGATGAGTTGGTCACCTTGCCTAGGTGCCTAAGAACCTCTCCCCTGCCCACGTACTAAGACCACTGAGGAAGAGAGACAAGGCTGGGAAGGTGAGCAGGTAGAGGAGGCTGCCTTCCGGGGAGCTGGTCCTTCTGGCCTGCCCCCCAGGGGGAGTGGACAGGAGTTGGAAGTGGGACAGGAATCTAACCTATCAGGTTGGACTTCAAGCCTGCAAGGGAACTAAAGAGCCGGGTGAGGAAACTGAGGCAAACCAGTCATGGATGTAGCCACCATGGCGGGGTAAAGGAAAGCTGTGACTTCATGAGCGCTTGGGACATAGGGCCTGGGGCAACACGGCCACCTCCAGCCCCCACGTTCTGAGCTCTCAGTACTCCCCATAACATTTCTTCTACTATCCTTCAAGTCTGAGACTTCTCTTCCCTTCCAGGACACAGCTGGAGAAAAAGGTAAGGACATCAGCAAGTATGGCAGTGTGCAGAAGAGCTTTGCAGACAGAGGCCTCCCAAAACCTCCCAAGGAGAAGCTGCTGCAGGTGGAGAAGCTGAGGAAGGAGAGCAGCAAGGGCAGGTTCCTCCAGCCCACAGCCAAGCCCCGCGCCCTGGCCCAGCAGCAGGCTGTGATCCGGGGCTTCACCTACTACAAGGCGGGCAAGCAGGAGGTGACCGAGGCGGTGGCAGGTGAGTAGGAGGGGAATGGGGACCCTGGGGAGTCGGGGATGGATGCCTCCTAGGAATCCCCTCATCTTCTCTGCAGTCGGACCACCCCAGATTCAGTTACACCCATTGATTACCTGTTGGGTGCTCTCTGCTCATCCACGTAGGGGGATAACACCCCACTCAGGGGGTCACTGGGATGCAATAGCAAAACCAACCTGCAGGGCCACTCGGTGGCTTTCCTGTATTTACAGCTGTCTTCACCTTTGCTGGACTTTTCCTTGTGCATTTGAAGATGTGCCGAAGCAGGCCGGGCGCGGTGGCTCAAGCCTGTAATCCCAGCACTTTGGGAGGCCGAGACGGGTGGATCACGAGGTCAGGAGATCGAGACCATCCTGGCTAACACGGTGAAACCCCATCTCTACTAAAAAAATACAAAAAACTAGCCGGGCGAGGTGGCGGCGCCTGTAGTCCCAGCTACTCGGGAGGCTGAGGCAGGAGAATGGCGGGAACCCGGGAGGCGGAGCTTGCAGTGAGCTGAGATCCGGCCACTGCACTCCAGCCTGGGCAACAGAGCGAGACTCCGTCTCAAAAAAAAAAAAAAAAAAAAAAAAAAAAAAAAAAAAAAAAAAAAAAAAAAAGAAGATGTGCCGAAGGTCCACTCTGACCACATGACGGGGAATGGTAGAGACACAGTCCCTGTCCCCACACATCTCATAGTCTAGTGAGAAAAAACACCTATGACCAGGCAGCTGCCACAGTGGGGGGCAGGAGAATACCGGGCTCCTGAGAAGTGACAAGGGCTTTGGGGGCATCTCTCATTTCCTCTCCAGCTCCTCCCTCTTCTTCTATCCCCAAGGAAGAGCCCACAGACTCTTGTATTTTTCCTGCAGCTCTCTGCTGGATCACAGAGAAAGGTGACAAAGTAATTGGCAAACAAGAGACACAAGTTTCAAGATACCCCAAATTTCTGATCCATCTCTACCGGTTGCGGTTCCTGATTCCCCCACTAAGACTCTCCCCAGATGGCTGCTCTCTTCTCATGTCCCAGAGGGGTGTCCCAAACCTGCTCCTCCCCTTCCTGGGTCCTGCTGACCACCTCCTCCTCCTGCAAAGCCCTCCTTCCAGCCCATGTGCAAGGGGCGCACGGACGTGAAACAGTCAGGGACCAGGCTCCTTTGAGAGCCCTTCTTGTTTCCTGGCCTCTCAGGACTCAGGGGTCTCTTCCCCCTGGTCCCAGCTGCTGGCCCAAGCCCTGCCAGCTTGGTCTGGACATGGCACAGAGCCTCTGACCCCTGGCTGGGACACTGCCTAAGAACAGCTGCAGGCATCTGACTCTGCCAGCAAGGCCTGTGGGAACAGGCGCCCTGTCCTGGCAGGCTGCTGAGGCCAGGCCTCCCTGTGGTCCTCCTCAACCAAGGGGATGACCCCCATCCCCACCAGGGCCCAGGCTGCCCACAGCAGGGCCTGTGCAAAGAGGAAGCCCAAAATGGAGAAAAAAAGAAGTCAGGTTATTGTCCTCAAGTCAAGGGGTCTCTGAGCCCCTCCCCAAGCTGACCAGGCGGTCCCCTGGGCACCAGACCATCATAGTAGTAACAGCAGCATTCCTTTGTCTCCCTGGTGTCACAATTTTTTTTTTTTTTTGAGATGGAATTTCGCTCTTGTCACCTAGACTGGAGTGCAATGGTGCAATCTCAGCTCACTGAACCCTCCGCCTCCCAGATTCAAGCAATTATCCTGCCTCAGCCTCCCAAGTAGCTGGGATTACAGGCACGTGCCACCATGCCCGACTAATTTTTGTATTTTTAGTAGAGACTGGGTTTCGTCATGTTGGCGAAGCTGGTCTCGAACTCCTGGTCTAAGGTGATCTGCCCACCTCGGCCTCCCACAGTGCTGGGATTACAGGAGTGAGCCAGCCGTACCCAGCTGGTGTCACAAAAGCGTTTCCCTAAACCCTTCCTTCCCTTCCTTCCTTCCTTTCTCCCTTCCTTCCTTTCTTCCTTCCTTCCTTCCTTCCTTCCTTTTTTCTTTTAAGACAGGGTCTCACTCTGTCACCCAGGTTGGAGTGTAGTGGCACGATCATGACTCACTAAAGCCTTGACCTCCTGGGCTCAAGTGATCTTCCCTTCTCAGCCTCCCTAATAACTGGGACTACAGGCACCCATCACCACACCTGGCTAATTTTTTCTATTTTTCAGTAGAGACAGGGTTTTGCCATGTTGGCCAGGCTGGTCTTGAACTCCTGGGCTCAAGCAATCTGCCTGCCTCAGCCTCCCAAAGTGCTGGGATTACAGGCACCAGCCACTGGATCCAACCCTCTAAGCACTTTCGTTCATGCCGTCACATTTGATTCTGGCAGCAGCTGCATTTTCCATAGCAGAGTAAAAGGAGAAGGCCTGTAAAATGGGAACAAGAGCTTCTCTCTAGAATTGAATCTAGCAAATGACAGAACTGGTACAAAGTGCTTGATGCATAGGAAGGAAAGAGATCTCCTTTTTGGTACCTCGTATTTGCTGGAATCTGTGCAAATGTTTCTGTACATTTTTCTGTAGTCACCACCACAGTCCAGCATGGTGGGCTCATGACTCTCAGTTCACAGAGGTGGCCCAGGAAGGCAGGGGGACTTGGCTGAGGCCACCTGGCTGGGTTTAGAGCCGTGACTGTGAAATCCTCCCTGCCTCCCACTTTGAGACCTTTCGACCACTTGAGGTGTAGGGAGGCCCTGAGGAGGCCCCCCCTCCACTCCCTGGAGCCCCTGAGATGGGGGACCAGCAGACCTGAGGGAGACCCACATGGCAGCAGGTGGTGCTGGGATGTGAGCATGGGGTCTTCTCTCTGCAGACAACGCCCTCCAGGGGACTTCCTGGCTGGAGCAACTGCCGCCCAAGGTAGAGGGCAGGTCCAACTCCGCAGAGCAGGATGAGGCTGAGCCCAGGTCTTCAGAGGGAGTGGACCTGGCTCCTGGCACCCCCACCTCAGTCCCTGCCACCACCACCACCACCACCACTACGACCACCCCATCCCCCACCACCAGTCTCCTGCCCACCGAGCCACCTTCAGGTCCAGAAGTCTCCAGCCAAGGTGAGTGAGCCTCACAGGGGTCAGCACATTGTATGTAGCCTGTGCCCAAATCCAGCCCACAGCCTGTTTCTGTGAAGCCCTCAAGGTAAGAAATGCTTTTTACAGCTGGGCACGGTGGCTCGCTCCTGTAATACCAGCACTTTGGGAGGCCAAGGCGGACGAATCACCTGAGGTCAGGAGTTCAAGACCAGCCTAGCCAACATGGAAAAAACCCCTCTCTACTAAAAATAAAAAAAGTAGCCAGGTGTAGTGGCGGGTGCCTGTAATCCCAGCTACTTGGGAGGCTGAGGCAGGAGACTCGCTTGAACCCAGGAGGCAGAGGTTGCAGTGAGCTGAGATTATGTCACTGCACTCCAGCCCGGGAGGCAGAGCTTTTTTTTTTTCTTTTTGAGACAGATTCTCACTCTGTCACCCAGGCTGCAGTGCAATGGTGAGATCTTGGCTCATTGCAACCTCCATCCCCCGGGTTCAAACAATTCTCCTGCCTCAGCCTCCCGAGTAGCTGGGATTACAGATGCCTGCCACCATACCTGGCTAATTTTTGTATTTTCAGCAGAGACAGGGTTTCACTATGTTGACCAGGCTGGCCTCTAACTCCTGACATCAGGTGATCCTCCCATCTAAGCCTCCCAAAGTGCTGGAATTACAGGTATGAGCCACCACACCCAGCCCAGGTAGTATTTTCAACAAATTATTCTTCAGATGTCACCTAGAATGCCATCATTAAATCCAGCAACTATTTTTATTTCTTTATTTCCTGTGTCCAATCGTTGGCCCTGTTTTGATGTCAGCATGTATAGTTTTGCTTTGTGTCTCATGGTGGAAATCTTCCTCGTTAAGTCATTGATCCCATCCTTCCGAAGGGATCTTGGCTCTCTGTGGTGACAGTCCTTCAAACCCTGTCCTGCTTTGGTCCAAGGTCATTCCACTTCTAGGAATTTTTCCTGAAGGATCCACCAGCAGTGAGAACAACAGCTGCAGCTTAAGTAGTTGCATCATGGCATCATTTCTAATGTCAGAAAACTGGAAATAACCCGAATGGCTGACATGGGGAGGACTGGTCAGATAAATTCAGGGCACAGCTGTCCACCGGCCTGGCAGACCTTGAAATCACATCATTAAAAGGCTATTTAATGATGAGAGAAATTGCTTAACGGAGGCTAAAAACAGGATACATAAAACTGTATACTCAGTTTTTTAAAGTATGTCTGCATGACTGTACATGCAAAGAAAAAAGAAAAGGAAGGAAATGCCACATGCTTAAATTTTGCTTTGCATGGGAGAAGGGTGGGAGGGGGTAAGGGATAAAAGACTACATACTGGCTACAGTGTATATACTGCTCAGGTGACGGATACATTAAAATCTCAGAGATCACCATTAAGGAACTCACCCATGTAACCAAAAACCACCTGTTCCCCAAAAACTATTGAAATAAAATATTATTATTATTGTTGTTGTTTTGTTTTTTGGGGGGTTTTTTTGAGACGGAGTCTGACTCTGTCGTCCAGGCTGGAGTGCAGTAGCGTGATCTCTGCTCACTGCAACCTCTGCCTCCTGAGTTCAAGAGATTTTCCTGCCTTAGCCTCCCGAGCAGATGGGATTTCAGGCACACACCACCATGCCTGGCTAATTTTTCTATTTTTAGTAGAGACAGTGTTTCGCCATATTGACCAGGCTGGTCCTGAACTCCTGACCTCAAGTGATCTGTGAAATAAAATTTTTAAAAAGAGAATAAAAGAACAGAAAAAAAATTTTCTTTGGATAATGGCAGTTTTTAGTTTTATTTTATTTTATTTTATAAGAGTGTAAATTTTATTTTTAAAAAAGTAAAATAAAAAAGAAAAACCAAAAAAGAAAAAAAGTTAATTTTTTTATTGACAAAAATTGTATGGATTCATTTGTTTGGCATACTGCAGAAAGAACAATTTTTTTAATGTATGTATTTAAAATGTACAACATAATGCTTTGATATGTGTACACACTGTGAAATGGCTAAATCAAGCTAATTAGCATATATATTACTTCACATTACTTATCTTTTTTTTGTGGCAAGAACACTTAAAATCTGCTCTCTTAGCAATATTCAAGTATACAATATGTTGAACTTATTCCTGTTGTCTAAATGAAACTTTGAATGCTTTAAGCAACATCTCCTCAATCCCCCCATCCATTAGTAACCACTATTCTACTCTCTGCTTTTATGAGTTTGACTTTTTATTTTTTTTAATTTTTAATGTTTATTTTTATTTATTTATTTATTTTTGAGATGGAATCTCACTCTGTTGCCCAGGCTGGAGTGCAATCGCGTGATCTTGGCTCACTGCAACCTCCACCTCTCAGGTTCAAGTGATTCTCCTGCCTCAGCCTCCCGAGTAGCTGGGATTACAGGTGCCCACCACCACACCCAGCTAATTTTTTCATTTTTAGTAGAGACGGGGTTTCACCATATTGGCCAGGTTTGTCTCAAACTCCTGACCTTGTGATCCACACCCCTCAGCCTCCCAAAGTGCTGGAATTACAGGGGTGAGCCCCTGTGCCTGGCCAATTTTAATTTTTTTTTTTTTTTTTTTTTTTGGAGGCAGTGTCTTGCTCTGTTGCCTAGGTTGGAGTGCAGTGGTGTGATCACAGCTCACTGCAGCCTCAACATCCCAGGCTCAAGCAATCCTCCCACCTCAGCCTCCCCAGTAGCTGGAACTACAGGTACACACCACCATGCTCACCTAATTTAAAAAAAATTTTTTTTTTTTGTAGAGACAAGGTCTTGCTATGTTGCCCAGGCTGGTCTTCAAGTCTTGAGCTCAAGTGACGCTCCCACCTCAGCCTCCCAAATTGCTGAGATTACAGGTGTGAGTCACTGTGCCTGGCCGAGTTTGACTATTTTAGGTTCCACATATGATGAATAATATAACTTTGAAGATTTTTATTTTCTCCATTCTCTTTTTTTTTTTTTTTGAGATGGAGTTTCACTCTTGTCACCCAGGCTGGAGTGCAGTGGCGTGATCTCCACTCACTGCAATCTCCGCCTCCTGGGTTCAATCGATTCTCCTGTCTCAGCCTCCTGAGTAGCTGGGATTACAGGCACCGCCTACCACACCCAGCTAATTTTTGTATTTTTAGTAGAGATGGGTTTCACCATGTTGCCCAGGCTGGTCTTGAACTCCTGACCTCAGGTGATCCACCTGCCTTGGCCTCCCAAAGTGCTAAGATTACAGGCGTGAGCGACTGCACCTGGCCTCCATTCTCCTTTTCTGAATGTTGTATGTTTTTGGTAATGATCAGGCATTGCTTTGATGATGAGGAAAGGGGAAAGAAGGCCATAAACAAAATAACAGGAGAGATTTAAGTTAGACCCAGATAACATTGCCAGCCTGTTGCTCTGACTGGGGGCTTTGGGAATCTGTGTACCAATGCTGCCTGCCCTCCTCCCACAGGCAGAGAGGCGAGCTGTGAGGGCACCCTCCGGGCTGTGGACCCCCCCGTGAGGCACCACAGCTATGGGCGCCATGAGGGAGCCTGGATGAAGGACCCTGCGGCCCGAGACGACAGGATCTATGTCACCAACTACTACTATGGAAACAGCCTGGTGGAGTTCCGCAACCTGGAAAACTTCAAGCAAGGTCAGGGACCCCGGAGGTGGAGAGGGGGCCGGGTATGGACAGCCTGGGGAGGGGTCCTCATGGAGACTTGGCTTTCCTTGCCTTGTGGGTTTCTATGGTATAGCCTGGTTGAGCTCCAGATTGTTAGCCACCCCAAGGAGGGGGGTCTGGGCTGAGGGCACTGGGCTGGAGGCCCAGACAGACCCCATGGCACCCCTGTGCGCTAGCACCCTGCCAGGAACCAGAATGCAGCAGCAAACAAGAGGGACACGGTCCTGCTTTTGCAAGCGTGACTTACCGTCAAGGGGCCAATACTGAGTTTCCATTTGTTGAGTGCTTGCCCTGTGCTGATCTCGCCCCACCCCGTGTATCAGCTCATGGTTGCTACATACCTCCAGGAGGCGGGGTTATCACCTGTTTTATAGGTGAGCAGGGCCTCTGGCCTTAGAGGAGCTGCAGGTCTGGGCAGGGGTCAGGACGGAGCTGACGGCACAGGGAAGGGCAGAATTCTGGTTATCAGATCTGGGGCATGATGTGGGGAAGGGGTCATTTAGATCTAGCCTGCCCTTCAGAAATGCACACTCTGGTGGGGGAGGCAAAGGCTTAAAGAGACAATTTCAGTACAGCATTAGAGGGAGCGCCGAAGGGGCTATGGGCACCCAGCCTAAAGATCAGGGAAGACTTCCCCGTGAAGGTGATGCTGAGCTGGGCCCTGGAAGAAGAGTAGGAGTAAGCAATGCGGAAGGAAGAGGGAAGGGTGTTCCAGGCAGAAGGCTCAGCACATGCAGAGGCCTGGCAATGACAGGAAACGTGATGGCCTGGGGTGGGGGGGATGGTGACTGAGTAAGCTGGGGCAGGCCTGGTGAGCCAGATGAAGGAGTTTGGACTTAACCCCGAGAGCCATGCAGTCACAACTAAAGGCCGGGCACAGTAGCTCACACCCGTAATCCTAGCACTTTGGGAGCCCGAGGCAGGTGGATCACTTGAGGTCAGGAGTTCTGGGCTGAGGGCCACTGGCTGGAGGCCCAGACAGACCACATGGCCCCCCTGTGGCGCAGCCCACCTGCCAGGAACCAGAATGCAGCAAGCAAACAGAGCGGACACGGTCCTGCTTTTGCAAGCGTGACTTACCGTCAAGGGGCCATTACTGAGTTTCCATTTGTTGAGTGCTTGCCCCTGTGCTGATCTCGCCCCACCCCGTGTATCAGCTCATGGTTGCTACATACCTCCAGGAGGCGGGTTATCACCTGTTTATAGGTGAGCAGGGCCCTCTGGCCTTAGGAGGAGTGCAGGTCTGGGCAGGGGTCAGGACGGAGCTGACGGCACAGGGAAGGGCAGAATTCTGGTTATTCAGATCTGGGGCATGATGTGGGGAAGGGGTCATTTAGATCTAGCCTGCCCTTCAGAAATGCACACTCTTTGGTGGGGAGGCAAGGCTTTAAGAGACAATTTCAGTACGCATTAGGGAGCGCCGAAGGGCTATGGGACCCAGCCTAAAGATCAGGGAGCACGGGCCGGGCGCGGGTGCTCAGCCGTATCCAGCACTTTTGGGAGGCCGAGACGGGCGGATCACGAGGTCAGGATGCGGATCGAGACCATCCTGGTACCTGGTGAAACCCTTCTTTTACTAAAAATACGAAAAACTAGCGCGGGGAATCCAGGGGGGCGGGCGGCATGTAGTCCAGGCTACGTTCGGGAGGCTGAGGCGGAAGAATTGGCGTGACCCAGGAGCGGACGCTTGCAGTGATGAGCTGGAGATCCGGGCCACTGCCACTCGCGTGGGGGACAGAGCAAGACTCCCGTCTCAAAAAAAAGGGCTATGGACACTAAAAAAGATCAGGGAAGACTTCCCCGTGAAGGTGATGCTGAGCTGGGCCCTGGAAGAAGAGTAGGAGTAAGCAATGCGGAAGGAAGAGGGAAGGGTGTTTCAGGCAAGAAGGCTCAGCACATGCAGAGCCTGGCAATGACAGGAACGTGATGGCCTGGGGTGGGGGGATGGTGACTGAGTAAGCTGGGGCAGGCCTGGTGAGCCAGATGAAGGAGTTTGGACTTAACCCCGAGAGCCATGCAGTCACAACTAAGGCCGGGCACAGTAGCTCACACCCGTAATCCTAGTGGAGCCCGAGGCAGGTGGATCACTTGAGGTCAGGCAGACAACCAGCCTGGCAACATGGTGAAACCCCGTCTCTACTACAACATTAAAAAAAAAAAAAACCGGCCGGGCGCGGGGCTTCAAGCTGTAATCCAGCACTTTTGGAGAGGCCGAGACGGCGGATCACGGGGTCAGGAGATCGAGGACCATCCTGGCGGAACGACGTGAAACCCCGTCGTCTACTAAAATTCCAAAAACTAGCCGGGCGGACGGCGGGCGGGCGCCTGTCCCAGTACTTCGGGGCTGAGGCCAGGAGAGATGGCGGAAAACCGGAGCGGATGCGTTGGCAGTGCAGGCGAGATGGGTGCACTGCACTCCAGGCCCTGGGTGGACAGAGGAGACTTCCGCCTCAAAAAAAAAAAAAAAAAAAAAATTAGGTGGTGTTGTGGGTTGGCAGGTGCCTGTAATCCCAGCGTCTTGGGAGGGCTAAGGCGGGGAGAATCGTTTGAACCTAGGGAGGCAGACGGGTTGCAGTGAGCCGAGATCGCACCACTGCACTCCCAGGCCGGGTGCAGAGAGAGACTCTTCTCAAAAAAAAAAAAAAAAAAAAAGAAG